AAAGTTCTCATTTTCATAATTTTTTACATAACAAATTATCAAATACATTTGCATAGATAGGGACTCTGCTCTGAGAATACTGTTATAAGCTATCTGGAATCTGCATCAGACAAGTCATTCACACAGCACATCATTGTATACTGATCTTACTATACAGCTCTTGGCTTTCCAACTGTACCCATACATGCAACATAAAATTTTTCAAATATTTGAAAAGAAAAATGACATTAATACTAGAGAATGAGTAAAAAGGCAGCAATCTTGTAAAACAAATTGGAAAAAGGAAGAATGTGAAGGCAATGTGACCCTGGCCATTTACACTGCCAAATTCTTTTTTTTTTTTTTTCTTCAAATTCTTAATTTATATAATATAAAGAGAGGCTTCTGGAAAAAGTTGACTGGAAAGCACAGCTGCTGAGCAGTGATGGGAGAAAGCCACTAGAAAATATAAAGACCTACAGTTATGAAGAGAATACAGAGATGACAGCACTAACTCCAGCCTGAAGTTTAAGAAACAGTGAAGACTAACAAACAAATTAGACCGAAACGTGTCAGGTCTTTTAAAATTATACACAAGTCCCATAATTCCTTAGAGTTTAAAACAGACAACAGTGAATATCTATTTATCTCTGAGTTTGTCTCATTTCTTTAACCTTAACCACTGATTTTCAATTGAGTATTTTACAATTCTTAATTAAACCAAGGATCTTCAGTGCATCTTTGAAATGTACTCTATGTAAAAAGCTTCATCACGTTAATTCTATGAAGACCACATTTACTTAGTCAAGGTCATTTTATAAGCATTAATTAAATTTGCTACCACCATATATTGTTTGACCAAAAGAAGCAGTCATTTTAATTCTTAAAAAAATTATATTAAAATGGTTACTTGGGAAGCTTTTATCATTGAGGAGAATTTTAAAATATTTAAAATTTATTCCAAAACAGAATATTCATGATGATATAATTAAAAATATCAGTGAAGAGGGTACTTTCCTGGACTATGAATGATGTTCTCCACAAGACTTACCAGTTTTAAAAATACCACAAAGAGAAAAGTGGTTAAAGTTTATCTCTAGCATATTTGACATAATTCTAAAAAGCTTCTTTGTAAACTTATTCATAAAACTGATTAAGGTAGTTGTGTTTTTCAATAGCATTTAGAACAATCTAGCACTTGGCAAAAATACTCAGCCTGGAATACTGCACTGAAACATAAATAAATGCATAACATTTTGTAAACTAGCTGCAATTTTCAGTAACGGTGTTCACCAACCATGTAACAGAATTATAATGTTCTCCTAAGCCATATGCATGCCTCATATATACAAGCGTTAATGGCTTTTTAGAATATTCTTCACCAATTACAATAGGAGGAGAATCTGCCTGTATTATCTCTATAGGTGTCTGTAAAATGTGAGATAGAGCTCTTAGCTCAAGCTGACCTCCCCACGCAGCTGTGTTCACAATGTCATCACAGTATTTTCCAAACTCCTCTGGGGTATACATATGTCCTGTATTAGCGTTTGTTAAAAACGGCAAAAAGTCATTCACATGGCTTTGCATATACTCAGCTGTCTGACTTCGTAGAGCAGCCACAGTCAGAGTGCAGTCCTGTTCTCTCAGTTGATCCTCAATGGCTTTATACATACAGTGGCCATCAGATGGAATCTGCTTGATTTCTAACTCTCTGGCTGCCAATATTTGAGCAAGTTTTTCATTTTCTATATGTCTGGCTCCAGATAAATTCTCAATTTCAGCTTCAGCTATTCTTTCTTCCCACTCCTTTTCCAGTGCTGCTTTTTTTTCCCGTCTCTTTTGTGCTTTTGATATCCGAGGTGGCTGATTCTCAAGTACCAGGTTTGTAATGTTAACAGGAACAGAATCTATCTTGTTCTCCTTGGCAACCAGCTCCAGTTGCTCCAGTTCGTCTCTATGCTTCTGTTCCATTTCTTTTTCCAACTTTGCAACATCTTCAGTGAGTTGCTTCCTTCTCTTTTTGTCATTCTTGGGAACAGCATTCTTCATACCCTGAATTTTAGCTTGCAATTCCTTCTTCTCCTTGCGATGCCTTCTCACGAGCTGCTCCTCTTCATCCAGCTCTTCGGTCAAGGATGCCTCCATTATGACCAAGTTGCCTGACACTTACCCTAGAGATTGCTTCCAGCAAGCCCACAAACATTTTTTTACCACAAACATTTTAATTGTATTTGAAATAAGTCCTAGATACATTTGTATTTTTTTAAAAAAATACATAGTGTTGCTTAATGTTGCAACTTTTTTTTTCAGTACAAAATGGTTCTTTATTTATATCCTCTTTTTCTGAAAGGCAGAAGAATTTTTTTTTTGCTCCGAATGCCTTTAGGGCAGGTTTGGCTGGCTTGAGTTGTGGGGATCGAACCATAGCAACCTGAGCCTGACTGCTTTGGGGAAGCAACCACTTAAAGAACTGAGCTAGGGCCAGGCCCCCGATGTTGCAACTTTTTAATGCAATTTTTCTCAAAATTCACTTTTCACATTTTAGTTTCTTTGCCAGACAATAACATTCAGTTTACAAGGTTAGCTTAATTATGTTTTTATTTCTCTTATCACCAATATCCATGCAGGTTTTACTTAAAAAAATATTTCTTAAACCAATGGCATTATATTTGCCTTGCTATTGTTTGCCTTGATTTTGAAATTGAAGCTTTTATCTAATTGAGCCTGTTTCCTACAATAAAAGGCCATTTCCAGAGTGTCAGAGTCAGGGCTGAGGGCCTTTTGCTAGATAGGGAGTGGCTGGTGCTATGCTCTGTAATAGGCTTGCTGACCATTTCTTCTAACTCCTCTGTACCATGCCTTCCTTTATGATAGAAAATGGAAAGCTAAAAACTGCTACTTCTTTGAAATAAAAGGATAGGTGTAACTTATGTCCTGATAATCAGGCATACTCATGTAAGATTACCTTCCAAAATCTAGTAAAGAGATGGCCATAGGAGAGGCTTCCATTTTGCTGCTGTTGATCTAGCAGGAATAGGGGTAGTTCTAGAACAACAGATATGAAGGCAGCTTGTATTTCTCAGTATCACAACTAAGGTGGCATGTTCCTAAGAGACAACCACTATGGTGGCATATTCCTAATAGGATTTGGGCCTAAGCAGTTTGATCCTGAAAGTAGCTCTCAGGAATGAAACTTCCTGATTTCTTAGCTTCTTGACCTTGGCAGAAGTAGGTAGTAGTCTTTCTGGTGTGACAGCTCTTTTGTTGTTCTTGTAGCTATTCCTGAGCCTAGATGTTGCTCTTTCAGTTCTCCCAATATTTTGTAAGCAACTTAAGCCTTATATTACTAAATTTTTTATCCTTTTATTTATTTGGTACAGGGTCTTGCTATGCAGCTCAAACTCATAGTGATCCTTCTGTCTCAGCCTCCCCATGCTGAGATTACAGGCATGCGCCACCACACCCAGTTCTAGGACCTGCAGGGCACATGGTACCAGGGATCAAACCCGGGTCCTTGCACTTGCCAGGCAGGCGCTTAGACTGCTGAGCTTTCTCCCCAGCCCTCTTTCCTTTATTTTCTATGCCTTTACTTGATGATACTCTTACTTAACCTACACTCTGGGTTTCCTAGCTTTTGTTTGTATTATCTAGGCTCCCATTAGCCACCTGTCAGCGCTGTATCTTTTTCCAATCCAGAAATTCTTAAACAAACTTCTTTGGGTCCCAGCTTTGGATCATCTTGCCTGTGCCTTTTCTGGGAGGACAACCTTGATGCAACCATATTCAGTTTCTAATAACTTGGTAAAGAATACCCTGTATTATCACTCCAGGTATTATGTTGGATGATCATAAAATGTGTCTCAAAGTTAAAAGATTTAGAAACTCCACTAAAAAAAAACTGGTAGATTTAAACAAATTCAAAGCCTAGCTGGATACAAAGTCAACACCCAAAAATCAATAGCCTTCTTGTACATAAGTAACAAACTCACTGAGAGAGAAATTAGGGAAAACAACACCTTTCACAATAGCATCCAGAACATGAAATCCCTAGGAGTCAATCTAACAAAGGATGTAAAAGACCTCTACATTGACAACTACAGTTCTGTAAAAGGAGATTGAAGCAGATATCAGAAAATGGAGAGATGTCCTTTACTCTTCTATAGGAGAAATAATATAGTGAAAATGGCCATACTTCTAAAACTGTTATACAGATTTAATACAGTTATGATCAAAATGCCAGTAACATATCTCACAGAATTAGAGAAAACAATCCTAAAATTAATTTGGAACCAGAAGAGACGTAGAATAAAAAAAAAAAAGAGAGAGAGACCTAGAATAGCAAAGGCAATCCTGGGCAACAAAAGCAAGGCAGAGGGCATCACAATCCCTGACTTGAAATTAAAATATAAAGCTATGGTGATTAAAAGCAGCATGGTACTGGTCCAAAAAAAGACCTAAAAATCAATGAAATGGATTACAAGATGCAGAAACTACTCCAGACATACTCAGCCATCTTATCTTAGACAAAGGTGGCAAACCTTTGATTTTTAAGATTGTTTTCTCTAATTGTGTGAGATATGTTATTGGCATTCAGTGAAAGAAAACAAGCTTCTTTAATAAATGGAGCTGAGGGCCAGGGAGCTAGCTCAGTAGAATAAGCACCTGCCTGATAAGTGCAGGGTCTTGAGTTCAATCTCTGGTACTGCAAAAAATAAAAATTAAAGAAAATAAATAAATGGAGCTGAAAAACCTGGCTCTGCACATGCCAAAGATTAAAATTGGAGCCACATCTTTCACTGTGCACTAGACTAAATTCAAAATGTATCAAAGCTCTAAATATTAGAACACAAACATTAAATCTGCTAGAAGATAGAATAGGTAAAACTCTTAAAGACATTGGTGTAGGCAAGGACTTTATCAATAAAACCTCAATCACACAGGAACTATCGTAAAGAATCAACAACTGGGATCTCATCTTACTAAAAGTTATTTCATAGCAAAAGAAACCACCAGCAGAGTGAAGAGACAACTCACAATGTGGGAAAAATGTTTGCCAGCTGTTTCTCAGACAAAGGAGTACTATTAAGAACACATAAAGAACTCAAAAAAAATTGTACTTCCCAATTTAAAGACTCATCCAAAAACTGGGCATCTGAGATGAGTACACACTTCACAGTTGAAGAAATACAAACAGCATGGGGGCCGGGGAGATGGCTCAGTAGAGTAAGTGCTTGCCTGACAAGCACAAGGGCATGAGTTCAATCCCCGGTTCCACAAAAAAAAAAAAAAATACAAACAGCACACAAATATGTGAAAAATATCAATATCACTGGTCATTCGAGAGATGCAAATTAATAACACTGAGATTCCATCTCACCCTGGGAAGAATGGCTATTATGAAGCAATCAACCAATAACAAATACAGGAGGTGCTGTGGGAAAAAGGAATCCTTATCCACTGTTGGTGGGAAAGTAGATCGGAGCAATCACTGTAGAAATCAGTACGAAGAGCCCTCAAAAATCTAGGGTTGGAGGTTCCATTGACATAGCTATTTCTCTGCCAGGTATCTTAACAGAAAAGTAAAATCATTATACTACAGCAATATATGTGCAATCATATTTATAGGAACTTGTTGTGACCAAAGAGACAAGATGCCCAAATGTCCATAAACCAAGGAATGAATAAAAACCAGGGGTTCTTTTTAGACAATGGAGTGCTACTCAACCATAAAGGATAAACTGGAGACTTTTATAGATAAATGAATGCAACTTGAGGCCATACTCATAAGTGAAGTAAACATTGTATTGTCTCCCTAGTGTGAGAAGCTGAAAGAGTAAATAAGATCCAAAATGTACAATGGATATTGTGAAATGGGAAGAAACTCCAAAAGGAAAATTTAAAAACTGGGATGGAAGAATGAAAAAAAAAAGAAAAAGAAAAGCATATATAGGGCTGGTGAGATGGCTCAGTGGTCTAAAGCACCTACTTAGAACAAGCTTAGCAAAGCAAAGGGACCACGGTTCAATCCCCCAGCACCACAT